CCTCTCCCCATCCCATGCCGAAAGAGGGAAAGAGAGAGTGAGAGAGAGGACGGAAAGACTCCGACTCTCGAGGCAAAGAGAGAGAGAGAGAAAGAGAGAGAGGGAGAGGGAGTGAGACGAGGATCGTAGCCTCGACAGAGCCGTGTTCCAGTACGGTGGGTGGGGTGAGAGGGGTGGAGAGCGTTCGCAAAGTGTCCCTAAAACTTTTACAATCGCTCGGCTTGGTTCGCTCGCTCGCTCGTTCGCTTGCTTGCTCGCTCGCTCGCTCGCTCTCGCGTTCTCGCTAGGGCTATGCTTGATGGCGTATCTTCCAATGTGAGTTGGCCATAATACTAAGATGTACGGCTGCGCCGGTAGGGGTCCCGCTCGGTCTCTCACTTACTACCTTATAGTATAGCAAACGCGTATACCGAACGTACGGCCGTTCCATCGCCGTTGGCCAACAGTATTTCGCCGGTATTTTCGGTTTCTAGTCGCGGGTTTGCCATTCCCATCCAAAGTTTTCGTCCTCTCCCAATACCGGAAACACTGTGGCTCTCCACGACGACGGGAGCCTCGGGATACTGGATCCTCGCATGCTTATTCACCGCGTGTAACAACCGCGTATTATTTCGTATATTTCCGCGGAAATATTTTCCTCGTACTTTTTCTTTCTTTCTTTCTTTCTTTCTTTCTCTTTTTCCTAATTATCTCGTAACCAGTCTCGTTCTTCGGTCCCCCCCCCCTCTCTTTCTCTCTCTCCCTCAATTTTGCGCGTTTGCGAATTTTCTCCCCCTCTCCCCCCCTCTCGAGAGCGGGGGAGAGAGAGATACGTGTGCTAATCGATCTCCGTGGTATTTTGATATATAAATAGAGGAGGTTATGGAGGAGTTATGTTTGCCAGTGATGTGCAAAAGGGGGAGAGGATGTTCGATGTTCCAGTTGCGCGGAGAAGTACACCGTGGAGCCCACGTGATTTGTCCGGTTGTTGCGTGATGGTTAGTGCGTGTCGTCGTCCATCGCCGCCGTCGGAGGGAAGTAATTAAGGAGGAGACGATGGTAAGCTCATACCATGTCCACGATAAATACGCGCTGTACGTAAAATTGTTTTATCATTGTTTCTTTTTTTTTTTTTTTGTCTGATCGATACAGATGTA